GGTTTTTAACTTCTCTTGCTGAAATATAACTTTGAAAAGCGACCACAAGGTTTCGTTGTATAATGGCTTTTCCTGGAGCTGTACAGCCCATCCGACAGCGCTGCCATAGGGAAAAGCTCTTCCTAAAGTGCTGCTTCCCAGGAAAAATGGAGACAAATGCCTGCAGAGGAAGTTATCCACAGCAACGGCCAACTTTGACATCTGTTAGCACAGCACACTCGTCACACGAGCAGTTAGAGGCATTATTGGGATAGAAGTCCCATTTTTCACCACAGTGGCAGCACCGAGATGGAGAGGTCTTGCCAAGAAGCCCTGTTTTAACCACAGGGTTGCTGTGCAGAGCACACCTATATTTAGGATCAGTTCTGCAGAATGCCTGCTCTCTGGAGTAGCATGCTTGGATTATTCTGGGCACAGGATAATCCTGGTTGGCAGATCCTCTGGTGTTGACCAACCAGGTGGCCTTGGGTAAATGTGTATCCCAGTGTTTGAAAATCCCACCACCCATTGCTCTCAGTGTAGTTTTTAACAGCCCATTGTACCGTTCGGTTTTCCCAGAGGCTGGTGCATGGTAGGGGATGTGAAATACCCACTCAACGCCATGCTCTTTGGCCCAAGTGTCTATAAGGTTATTCCAGAAATGAGTCCCACTGTCTGACTCAGCTCTCTCTGGGGTGCCGTGTCGCCACAAAATGCGTTTCTCAAGGCCCATGACAGTGTTCAGGGCAGTGGCGTGGGGCACAGCGTATGTTCGCAGCCATCCGGTGGTTGCTTCCACCATGGTAAGCAATGGCGCTTGCCTTGGCGGGTTGGTGGCAGTGTGATACAGTCAGTCTGCCAGGCCTCCCCGTATTTATACTTCAGCCATCGTCCTCCATACCAAAGAGGTTTTAACCGTTTGGCTTGTTTAATTGCAGCACATTGCACAGTCATGAATAACGTGGACAATAGTGTCTACTGTTAAGTCCACCCCTCCATCACGAGCCCATCTGTACATTGCATCTCTGCCCTGATGGCCTGAAGCGTCATGGGCCAACGGGCCAAAAATAATTCACCTTTACGTAGCTACTGCTAAACCCAGGACACTGGGGTAACAGAGAGCTGAGGTACCCCAAAGAGTGGAAATCCCAGATGCGCAAGGAGAGCCACAGGATACTTAAGGCGATACGGAAAACTTTGGCTTCACTGGCCTCACTGGGTTTATACCATGCCTTCAAAGGTGTGGGAGATGTCTATGTCTTACTCTTGAAACCTTTCCTTTCCCTAATCAACGTTCCTGTCTGCGTCGCATTCTCTTGTATAGAGTGCAAAAGCTGTAGAGCCATGAAGCCCCACTAGGTCCCAACCAGAGATCACTCTTTGTGCCTTGAAACAGTTTGTTGGTGATGAGGGGAATATCACCATTTCCCTTGCTGGCTTGCCTGCTGCGTAGATGCTGCAATTAAACTGCTCTTTCGTGCTCTAGTTCTTCAGATGAACAGGTGCTTGGTCCTCAGAGGGGATCACAGTTACAGAAGGGCAGGATTGCTGGGGCTAAAGGTGTAGGCAGGGGCAGAGCTGCATCCACTGCTTTGGGTGTAGTTTCTGAGCACCTACAGCAGGCTTCTCTGGGCTGCCTCTGGTTGGGTTTTGAACGTATTCAAGGCTGTAGACTACACAGCCTCTCTGTTCTGGCCTTCGACCACCTTTACAAATGTTATGTTTGAATGGAATTTCTTGTTTGCACCCACATGCATGCAGATTTACGTAGCCTCAGTGGCAGCCTGCAGCAAGCGCTTCAGCTCCTGACCAGACCCTTATTAGCAGAGATAATCTGCCAGAAAGCCTGGTAATTAATGAGCTTGGAGCCTCCTTGGCACTGGCCTCTCCTCACCCTGCTGAGGAGGAGTGGGCATGGTAGAGGGGCAAAGCAAGGGCTGGCATCTTCATGCCCCAGCTCCATCCTCCCAGGCAGTGCCAGGCCTCAGCTAACACCAGAGCAGTGTCGGCAGATCCTCTCACCTTGTCTCTTGGCCAAGTGGGTGCTAGGGAGCCAGCCACATGTCCAGAGCAGTCTTGGGACACGCTGCTTGTCTTCACTGAGCAAATGCTGTTTCTTGGAGGCTCACATCTGGCTGGAGGGAGCAGATGGCAATTCTGCTGATAATGCTTTGAAAGCATCTACTAAGGCAGGGGAAGGCTCACAAATTCATTATCCTGGGCAAACCAGAGATTTAAGCTGCAAAGCAGATAAGAAGATTGTTTACCAGTCCCATCTTCGCTGTCCTCCTGGTGGCATGTGTATTTCCCCAGAGAGGGATCTTGCATGAAAGAAGGAGGCTGCTTTTCTGGGTGTTCAGGGTGAGATCCCCACTTGCCCATCTGCAGCCCAGCAGGCAGGGAATGCAAAACCTTGCTCTGGCTCAGCCAGTGCAGTCAGGATATGCTCTCAGAGCAAGGCTGGAGCCCACACTCTGGGCTCGTCTCACACAGAGTGTCACACCATGGTCTGCAGCTGGGATTCCCAACATCCACACAACCCTTGCAAGAGCAGAACAACCCCCCCATCACCCTCTCTCTTGAGCAGAAGAGACTAAACTAATGCAAAGGACTGCTTTGCATTGCATGGCAGGGGCTCCAGATTGCTGCAAGGCTTTGCACCTTCTGGATCCTATTCCAAGGACTGACCATCCCTGCTGAGAAAGGAAGTCTTGGGCCTTGCTCACACTTTCAGAAAAGGTCAGTGTGGGAATCCAGATCTCCAGGACTAGCTGTTGCTTCCACTGCATCCCAGCAGAGCCATCCCAGTGCACTCAAGTGTCAGAAACTGGCATTATAGATTATTGAATGAACTCTCCTCTCTAATGGCAGAGTTTGAGGCCAAAACCAGTGTGTGCGTATTCTGCTGCTTGCTAGCCCTGTCTCAGGGCAATCCAGCATCTCTTCAACCCTCTGTACACACATCTTAGTCCAGAGGAGCAATATGGGAGCTCCCTATGCTGTGTTGTCCACCCTGCGCACAGCCTGGTCCCATTGCCTCGGCTTGCTCCAGCCCCCCTGTGCACCAGGCTGGAAACACCAGGTTGGGATTGCTCAAAGCAGCAGGGAGTGGCTGCTCCCTAAAAACCAGGAGCCATATAGGAGAATGCTTCCTGGCATTCCACAGAAGCAGATATGCTGTCCCAAGTTGCAAGACTGGTAATTGTTTTCTTCCTGTTAGATGATTAAGTAGAGGTGATTAAATTATAATTAAACAACACAGGATGTGACTGATTGCTCTGCAGGAGCCATTGCCCCTCCTGAAGCCCAGGTTTATTCACCACAGGAGGCTGACATGTGCTTCATTTCACCTCCCCATCCCTCACACCAGTAGGGATGCTCACAGGAAGAGCCCAGGGCATTCATTTTGCTGTGCCTATGGAATGGTGGGCACACAGGCACTGGGGTTCACTGAAATGTTAATCGCTGCTTCTTGCAGCTTTTCGCATCACACTGCAGCTGCGGATGCTCATCTTCACTGTCTGTATCATCCTGAATAGCTGCGGTCTCGGGAGCTGCATAGCTTTGTTCAGTCCTAGCAGGCAATTTTACCCAGCTTTAAAGCTCTTACAAGGGAAAAACAAATAACCTGTCATGAGCACATTCTTCTAAAGCATAAAATCTCTCTTCCTGAGCTGCTCTGCCAATCTCCTGTGATAGAAGTCTCACTGACACTGGGTGCAGACCTGCACTGTCTCCTTCCGTGGGGATTCAGCGTGAGGGACCACCCAACCTTCAAATATACCCTCGTGGCATTGGAGCCTGAACCCTTCCTGCCCGCTGTGTTTCAGGGAAGGTCAGCAGAGCCTGCAGGCTCAGGCCAGACCACACGCTTGCTTGGATTCTGCTCTTGGGATGCTGAAACACATCCCCCTGGGGAAACTGTCCATGGCTACAAGAAGATGTGCTTTAGCATGCAGCCTGGGCAGCTCCAGGCAGAGCTCAGCATGCTGCAGGGAGCTCTGCCACAAAGTGAGTGGATTTATCTCCTCTCACTGGCACATTTCTCCCTCTGAGCTCATCCCCAGGATTTCACTGCAGCCAGTGGAGAAAATGAGGCAATCCTGCAGCATGGTCCATCTCAGCTGATGGCAGATGAGTGCTGTCTCTCTCAAATACATTAGTCAGAGCTGAGGGAGGTGGTGCATTCATTCCTCTTGGAAATACCAGAATACTTGGAGCCAACCCCACAGCCTGGCTCTGTGCCGAGGATGGATAGGGCAGCCCACAGAGGCTGCAGCAGCAGCTGTGTATCTATGGAGGTAGGCATTTGCTTTGCATCGAGTTTGTAAGCTGCCATTTGGAAGCTGTCTTAATTAAAGACAGAGCATGGAACTTCCCTACTGCTTTGAATCATCACATGGGTTAATAATTTTGAGCTAAATAAGGCTTGCTGGTTTTCACCAGATTTTCAAAGATCTGGAATTTGGTGTCTGAGCCTTGGCCGGTTTGGCCTTTTTCTGTTCCCATGAGTCTTCTGTCTCCTTTTGCATTGCCCTGACCCTGTCCTTGTGCTCACAGAGCACCAAAGCCCATTTTCTCCCCATATCCCAAAACCCCACAGCTTCAAGCAATGCTGCTCTCCTTGTGCCATTGCAGGTGGTGCGAGACCAAATCTCTCACTGCACAGTCAAGCTGCGCCAGACCACGGGCCTGATGGAGTATTGCCTGGAGGTCATCAAGGAGAACGACCCCAGTGGCTTCCTGCAGGTTGGTGTGGAGCTGCTCATGTCTGGGCGGCGAGGGGAGTGAGAAAGGCATTCACAGCTCAGGGCTATGGGGTAACGCAGGAGAGTTGGGGAGATACACCAAGGGTGATGTCCCCAGCTTTTCCAGCTGTAAAATCAAGGGCCAACCTCTCATTACCTCTGGGTTTGCAGCAGGACAGAAGCAGAAACAGGGCAGGGACATTCTTACTCTCACCAGAGAAAGAGAGGAATGCAATAGATGGTGGTGTATCTCTGGAGCAGTGATCACAGCATGCTGTCTCATGGCTCTCCAGCAAAAAATGGACATACAGCACTTGAGAAGCGCATCACACCATTCATTCCTGTGCTGGTCCCTTTGCTACTAGACCCTGGCTTTAAAGTAGTCCCCAAAGTTCCTAGGGTCCCTCTGCCAATCTGAGCCTGCAGTGAAGGGCGATGCTAGAAACCATGTGTGATGTCCCAGCCTTTGGCAGTCAGGGCAGCCTGGGAGGCACAGGGAAGGAGGAAAGCAGGGTACAAGGCACAGCATACAGTATAGCCCTTGGTAGCTGAGGCTGCTCCTTGCCATCAGATCTCCGACGCTCTCATCAGGAGAGTGCACTTAACTGAGGACCAGTGGGGAAAGGGAACACTCACACCCCGGATGACGACGGACTTCGACCTGAACCTTGACAATGCCCCTCTGCTGCAGTCCATCCATCAGCTCGACTTTGTCCAGATGAAAGGTAAGAACATTTCCAGTGCCTTTCAAAAGCCTGTCTCTGTTCATACTGAGTGCTTCTATGCAACTCATCACAGAGAACGGGCAGGAAAGGAGAGTTTCTCATCTCCCAGCAAGCCCCAGACCCAGAGTTATTCCTGTTCTGTGTATTCTGCACCCCTGGGCCATCTGCCTCCCTGTCTCAGATCCCTGGGCAGCTGTGTGCTAGACCAAGGTGCCAGGAGCTTGATTTTGTGTGACAATGCGATAGCAAGCATTCTGCAGGCTGGGACTAGGGTCTCAGGAGCAGCACAAGGCACTTCTGAAACCTCTGCTCACACACATTCGCTTGCTCAATGCTGATCAGTATCTCTTGTGGGCCAGTGAGCAAGCTGCCTGCTGCAGGTAGCCACAGTGTCCCTCCTAACACAAAGGCACAAAGAGCTACCCTACACCACTTAGCTTGGGCTCTTTCCCTCCCTCCCACCTCCGCGCTGTTGTTTTAGACCTTCATTTCAGTTTTAATTTCCTCCTCGCTCCACATTCCCCCTGTGCTCACTCTCCCACACTGCGGAGCTGCTGCATTTGCATCGCTCTGCAGGAAGCAGAGCACTGCTGCAACCTGTGAGCAGTTTGCAACTTGTCAAGCCCTGGGAAGCTGACAGGAGATGCAAATGGGCTGTGACGCAGGGAAGCTCAGGGGGGCATTGAACATGAACCTGTACCTTCTGCTGGTGCAAATGAGCTGCCTGGAGGAGAGGCCACCCACTGCGGGTCTGGCATGGCTCTCCATCACCACCATGGATGGATTTCCTGACTCTGGAGCCATTGCTCACACCAGCATTTCTCAGTGCTCAGGCACAGGAAGGCACTGACCACATGCTTCCTCTAACAATAATGAGCATTGGCAAATAATGGCCCCACTGGTATTTGCTGCAGTGAGAAGGGTGCACTGGGCATGGCTGCTGGGAGCCGTCATGGCTGCTGGGCTGTGGATAAGGCTGTGGCTGCAGTCAGCTCTGCAAAGGGTGCGAGAGAGTCTCCCATGTCTGAGCCCGGCTGCTGTGAAGACTCCAGGCAGTTTCATGTCGGGTACATCGCTGTGCTGCCGTGTTTCACCAAAATGCATCAGAAAACAGGAAGAAACCAGAGAAGCTCTTGGGGAAACATCAGCTTCATCTGCAGGGTGGAGGAACTCAGTGGAGCTTGTTTGGAGAACAGCCCCTTCTGCTGCCCCCCACCTCACACCTTGAGACCACAGTTACATCCCTTGTGCCGAGCTGGCTTCGCACCGAGGCGATAACTACATCCCCGTGCTCCAGCTGAGACGTGCGTGCTGCAGCTGTGCCCCCGCTGCTCCTCTGTGGTGCCAGCAGCCAGGGTTACACTAATTTGTGTTTAGTTTCCTCCCCAGTGCCGGCCCCCCCGATCCTGCAGCTGGAAGAGTGCTGCACCCACAACAACAGTGCCACCTTGTCCTGGAAGCAGCCCCCCTTGTCGACGGTGCAGGTGGAAGGCTACATCCTGGAGCTCGATGATGGCAACGGCGGCCAGTTCAGGGTAGGTGCTCAGCCATGAACCAGTCCCAGCAGCGAGAGGTTGCTCCGGGGTCTCGTGTTTCCCTGCATGAAGTGACCAAGGAGCTCCCCAGGCTTCTTGCAAGTCCCCTCTTTCCCTGGAGACACGAGACTCGGTGCTGGGGTGCCCAAAGCCAATGGTGTGGTGTGGACAAGCTGCAGGCTCTTGGTGGAGACAAGGTTATTTGAGGGAGTGGAAATATCTTTCCAGTGGCCAATACGACTTCCAATCGCAAAGAGAACATTTGAAGCTCCATCTTTTCAGGGTGCTAAATATTTCGTGCAAAGGATGCTAATAGCCATGAAGGACTCCTGGTTTGCCAGATGCCAGCAAGCAGAGGTGTTTAAGGCCTGAGGGCTTGTAAATGGGTGTAATTACACAATTAAAGTATGAATTTTCTCTGATCCGACACGCTGATAATTATCCTGGTGTGTTCACATCCACCAAGAGCAGGTGCAGGGACCAGCCCCTTACATTTCCTGAATTCATCCACAAGAAATTCAATTGGGCAGGAGCCAAAGCAAAGCTGAGGCAGAAGAGAGGTGACACGGGTGGGATCTGGAGAGAGAAGGGGGCAGCAGGATGGGCATGAGGAGACCAAGGCTCAGCACAGCCATCCCGGCAAGGCCAGGGCAATTCCCAAGCACTCCAGCCTTCTCTCATCCCATCAGCAGCAGGAAGGGGCTTGCATGTGCGTGGTGTTCCTGCTGCTGGGGTAACAGAGGGCTGCTCCAGCCAATGGTGCCACACGGCTGATGCCAGGATGGGGAACGTCTCTGGCTTCTCAAATCATTGAGTCATTTTACTGCCTGAAGGCATTGAGCTGACCAAGTCAGGCAGCAATTTGCTAAGCAAGCTGGGAGTGATAACTGTTGTACAGGTGGCAGTTCCTGCCAAGAGCAGGTCAATTCTCCAGCCCTCAGAGCATCTTCATGGCCTCCTAGACCAGCACAAATAGGTCATGTTCTTGTGTCAGGGGCCCCAGAGCTGAACACAGTACTGCAGGTGGGGTCTCACCAAAGTGGAGCAGAGGAGGAGAGTCACCTCCCTCAACCTTCTGGCCACACTTCTTTTAATGCAGCCAAAGTATTATCAAGGAACAAATCAGAGGTTATTTTGCTCTGCGTAAGTCATACACAGTGCTTGTAAGTCTGGCCCATGTAGCCCAGCATAGTTGAACCCTGTGCATCACAACTGCTGGGAGCCACTGTCACACCCCTGGGGCTCCATGGTCAGGGCACTAACTGTGCTTGCTTTGCAGGAGGTGTATGTGGGCAAGGAGACCATGTGCACGGTGGATGGCCTTCACTTCAACAGCACGTACAGCGCGCGTGTCAAAGCCTTCAACAAAACAGGAGTCAGCCCATACAGCAAGACCCTGGTCCTCCAGACATCTGAGGGTAAGGCATTGCAACAGCTCCAGCCCAGCGTGCTCGGACACTGCTCACACGCACGCATGGGGCCCATCCAGCACACCTAAGCTTAGCATTGCAATACAAGGAACTGCTCTGCTGGTCCTCCAGTACCTAAGCAATCGCTGCAGGAAAGGAAAGCCAGCACTGATGGGAGGGGAAAGGTTGTGTCAGGAGCCTTGGACACTGCCAGAACTTGTCCCTCACCCCTTTCCTTTACAGAAGATGTGCTTTGGAGAGGTACAGAGAGAGGCATCCTGCAGAGAGGTGTTTAAAATCTGGGTGTAGCAGGCCTTGTATTACACAAAGGAAAGCTCAGATGTTCCCAGTAATTCCATTTAAAACAAAATGCTGTCACATTGCTCCTGGAACACTACAGGCTGTGTGTGGCTGCACAGTGCCTTAACCACACTATGTCTCCTTTAGCCCCAGGCAGTGGACAACAGAGAGCAGAAGGACCATGGAGCACATGGGTGTCCTTGCTGATATGGGGTGCACAGCCCTGCCAGTATCGTCTGCATCACCCTGCACTGCAGGCACTCAGGATATTGAACACTCCCTTGCAGGTTACAGAGGAGTCTCCCTGCCTGACTTTAAGTACATTTGTCACACCAGGCACTTAATCCGCCTTGGAAAATTGGCTTGCTTCTGATACACAGGTGAAGAATCCTAAGGCTGGCTCCAAGACAAGATGGGAGACAGATGCAGGTGTGAAGGAAGGATCCAGCCCCCACCAGCATGTCTGCTGCCCTGTGGCCTTGCTGCCAGGCAAGAAACCTCTCCATGGGAGTTTTCCACACTTGATGGAATCCTTTTTCCTTACTCCCAGGCTAAAATCTCTCTTTTCAAGCCATGTGAAGATTGTGGAGCACAGCAGCATCACCAGATCTGGCTGGCAGCTGGCTCCAGAGCAGCAGCATGTTCTTGCAGCCCCAGCAGCTGCTGGCAGATGCAGTCTGGGGTCAGAGGGGAACACACACAGCTCGTGTGGCTGCTGGTGGGGTGGAAGGAAGGTGAGAGCCTTCTTGCCACAGAGCGTATCTGGTGGCTTTGGCAAGGAGAAAAAAGGGGTTTCTGCTGAAAGAAGATGAAAGCAGAAGGCTACACAGAGCATTGTCACTTGCTTGCCTGCACTCGTCTGCCAGAGATAACCATTCCAGTTTGGAAAGGGCATTTACTAGGCTTGGATGCATGGGCAGGACAGGTCAGGGAGGAATAGGACTCACCTGTAACAGATGCAAGGTGGACAGAAAACCTGTGACAAACCTTCTCATACAAGAGACAGAAAACTCAAATCACAGGCCACAAAGGCCTTGGCATGTCTGAGCTCTGCGTGTGTTTGCAAAGCTGAGCACCAGCGTCAAGGAAGCTGCAGTGTTCTTCTGGACATCCAGGGACAGGACAACCCAGATCCAGCCCCACACTGGCGTGGCCAGGACCTCTCCCAAAGCCTGAAGGTCAGCAGTTCTCACCCACTTCACTACCCTGCTTCACCAGCCTTTGCAGGAGGCAGCAGAGCTTTGGCTTCTCATCATGTTTGTGTCTCATTAGATCCATTTGAGACACAGTTTCCTAACCAAAACCACTTGGGCTTGAGGTTGTCCCAGCCAGGAGTTTCAGGGTCCCAGCTATGATCTTTCCAGCTCTGCTTTCCTCTCATAGGTGTTTTCACTGTCAAGCCAAGCTCGCCTGTTACACAGTTCCAAAACACAACAGAGCCTGGGAGAAAATAACCGTTCATGGTCCCAGCAGGCCAGGCTGTGCTTGGAGCTGATGCCTTGGTCTGTGCCAGCAAACTAAAGTTTCACTCTTCTGGGTATGAGATGAAAGTTTGCTGCATTCAGCCTTTTCACTGCATGGGCTTTTGCATTGGTTATTCCAGCACTAAAGAAAGAAGGAGAAAAAGGCAAATGGGCCTGGAGCATTTTCTGCTCTTTGAGGCCACCTGAGCTGTTTGGACTCAAAGTTAAATACATTACATTTATGTGCATCTTGAGCATATTCAAGTGACTTGTTAAACAGAGCCACCACATGCATCACAGCTCTTGTTTCTGGCCTTCACAGCAGCATCAGGCCTTTAAATGCTGTTTTGTCTGAAGCAGGCTTAGCTTTTCCCTTCAGCCATGGTCTGCAGCTTCCTGCAAAGTGTTCATGCGGGAAGAGGGGACAAAAGAAGAAATGGTCTCGATATGAAAAGAATATCTCTGTGAGCACAGCTGTCCTGCTGTGAAGTGGTTATGAGAAATTCTGCTTAAAGGGTGTTACTTCAAAGCTGGCTTCTAGTCCTAGCACACAAGATCCTTATCTGCAGCCTGTGGAATTTAACTGAAGTCTTTCTTCTGCCTTTAGTGAGCAGTGAAATGGGCTGTAGAGGCTAGCGGGGAGTGAAACATCCTGCAGGGTCTCAGCATCTGAAGAGAACAAGGATAAGAAGAGGATAAAATTGTGTCTGGGCTTCTGCAGGCGTGCTTCTGTGGTCCTGCCCAGCCAAACAGCCAAGGTGAGCCAGGCAGCACCGACAGGAATGTCCCACAGGAATGTCCCATGGGAAGCCAGCACACACACAAGCTTACAGCAAGGCACAGAGCACCTTCCCAGCACATTTTCTCCTGCTCATCTGACAGGAAACCACATATTCCAGCTGAGGAAACTGCAGTTCACTCTTCAAGGATGGTGCTTGGTGCCAGCATCAGAGCAAGACGGCTCCTAGCTGGGAGAAGGTCTGCGTCCTGGAGCCCTTCTCATGTACTGGGCCCTCTGGGATGAAGATCTTCATCATCATCACAGCCACATGGCAGCAAGGGCTGAAGGCAATGGTCCTTATCTTGAACTGTGTCCTCTCCCTAGCTGATGTCAGGCTGTTCCACTGCAGCCTTACCAGTATTTCTTGCCCTGTCATGTCTTAGCCAGTGCCCCCAGGACCATCACTGCAAGCACTGGGATGTGGGGCCTGGTTTAACCTCACTGTTTCTTCAGCACCTGAATGGAGTTCATCTGTAGGTTTGGAAATGAGTCTGGAAGATGGTTTTCAAGGTGACACTGTGCCAAGGTGCAGACACTTTACAAAGCTTGGCCAGAGGCAGCACTGCTTGGCTGTGCTCATCCCTAGGACACCTCAGGTCTTCCCCCAGCTCCTCCTCCCTGGGCAACCCCAGCTCTCTTGTCTTTCCACATCCGTCAGATGTTCTAGCCTCTGCTCAGTCTCCTGCTGACTGTGGGGCACAGTCTGTTTTCCTCCTGGCATGTTCCTATTTTCAGCCTACCCAGTGTTTGCTTGGTGCATTTTTGGCTGCTGTAAGAGCAGCCTCTGAAAGGCTTTGCAGCAGCCCCTAGCTCTGCTCTGCTGGTCTTGGTGGGTTGCAAACAGCCCCTAGGAATAGGCACCTAATGGGATGTGACAAGGAACAGAGATGACTCCCAGTTGCAGTGGGATCAGGGTCTGCAGGAGGGCTGGCTGCTGGGCTGCTTTTCTCTACAAAGATTTCTGAGATGGTTTCTGCATCCCTCCAGTGTTGTGTTTTACCGTGGGCTGTCCAGCAGGCTGGATGGTAGAATGAAGGACCAAGTCGCCCCAGTGGAGGCGGAGAAGAGGAGCTCAGTAGTGCTGGAGGGGACTGTCCCTGCCTGCTCCCCAGGCCCAGATCTGCACTCCTGGCTGGTGCAGAGGTTTGACCTCCCTCCTGCAAAACCTGCCGCTCCGTTCTCAGCTTTCCCCACACCTTGGCCCTTCCATTTGGCTGCTTTGTGCCTTCAGCCACGCTCTCCTGGGCATGTGTTGCCTGCAGCCAGGCAGCAGGGGAAGAGCTGAGGCTCTACCTTCTCTCAACTGCTGAGTCTCCAGCTTTAGGCATAGCTGCAGAGTTTCAAGGCAAGCCTGGTTTTGGCTTATGTGAGAGACAAGCCAGGAGCAGAGGGTCAGGGAGGAACATGTGTCTTGTCACACCCTGTGCCCTGCCATCCCCTCTCTTGGGTTCCCAGACTCGGGCAACTCTGCCAGCGCCATGAGCATCTGCTCCCAGCCAGCTCTGCCACCATGGGGATGTGGCAGAGGAGTTGGAGTACCCCATTCTGAGGGCCCATCCCCAGCCTAGTTGAGCACTAGAAACTTTGCGCTTCTTTCAAGCCCAGTTCCTCATCTGGGGCTCAACTTTAAGTTCCTTACCAGCCATGGAGTGGCCCTTAGCAGCAACCAAGTCTTTTTAACCAGCAGCTTTTGGAAAGGGGTGAACAACAGAAGGAAGAACAGTCTGCAGGGATCTATAGGAACATAAGATGCTAGATAGGGAGAGCCATGAGCGTGGCTACTCTTGGTAGTAGTTTCTCTTACTCTTGGTTAGAGGGTATGTTCCTCCCTAACCTTGAGCTCTGTTTATTGACCTGTTGTGCAATAATTTATCTAACCTTTATGAACCCACTGACACTCTTTGCTTCCACAGCCTCGTGCAGCAGCTCGTTGCCACAGTTAAAACCCAGTGTGCAAAGAAATGCTTCCTTTTATTTGTTTTAACATGATTTCTAGCTCAGTTCATATTCACAGCTGAGACACAAAGGCTGGGGACACAGTGTTTGTGAGTTTATCTGATTCGAATGTATAGAGGATGGTGGATTCTACATTTCCATGTTCACATATCCCTTGACAAGGCTAGGGAACAAATTGCAGGAGGTGACTGTCATGGTAGTGGGGAACAGAAAACCATGACCCAACAGATTGCCTCTACTCTGACACTGTGCTGTGAATCACATGAGTTAAATTCTTACTGTAAGGCTCAGATGTGTTTTGACAGGTACAAAGGGATACCAAGAACACAACATCCCGAACAACCTTTGAGTAAGGTGGGTGCTTGGTGGTACTTAGGGTAATATAGCTTAGCACAGCCCTGCAAAAATGCCTTTCAGCATTACCAAGTGACTACTTTTTACTCCACTAATTGTGCACAAAAAGGTATGAGATGTGTTAAAGCACGATGGGAAGTGTGCATGGTAACTTGTGAATTCTTTTAGGTGCATTACTGTGAAGAGGTGCAGGACTGACTTTTACAGACAAGCATATTGAATTTGATGGCATGGGAACATTTTGGAAGATGAAAGTCTGTTTATTGCCGGTACTGTCAGAGGCAAGGCTTTCCTGAAGGGGCTCGCTGGGTTGCACAGCACCAGACATTCCTCCTCCACACACCATACGCACGCTCGCTGCAGCAGAGCAGGGTCCGTGCGTGCCGAAGCGTCTGTGCTCTGGTCTGAGGTCTGGTCTCGGGCAATGGAGTGACACCACCCAGCAGATCCCATTTCTGATCTCTAGTTTGCATTGATCTTACGTTTAGACACGCAGTCAGAAGAACAGACCCTCCCTTTTCCAGTGCCTTTGGAAAGATCGCAGCTTCGTAGAATGAGTCCTTTCTCCTCCACCCTTAATCTACAACCCAGCTTTCCGGGGAGATCCTACTTTGAGCTAAGATCTTCGGCCCACCAGCTGAGCTTGCATTCTTCTTTACAGTCCCTGAATTCAGCTGGTGAGCTGAGTGCCTCTGGCATTTCCTCTTGGTCTGTGCTTCTGGGCATCTCCAAAGTATTTGTTTGTTTCGTTCCGTTGTGTTTGTTTTTCCCATGACATGCGGATAGCAGGGGAAGCTCCTTCCTTTTGTCAGTGGCCTGCTCCTGCCGCAGAGGGAGTTCTTGTGGTGTTTTCATCTGTACATACCAGCATGGGTAGGTGTGGGGTGATGGAGCAGCACAGTAACTCCTTACATGCGTGCTGTTGTTGGCAGGGCCAGCCTGGCTGAACCATTTTGCACAGCCAGCCAGAAGAGCACATCACCCATCTCTAGTTTACGTTGATCCTGTGTCCAAGGACAATCACAAGAACAGACTATCCCTGGGAGAAACCTGTGAGGACATCTCGGTGGTTTGCTTTCCCTATACAACCAGGAAATGCAGCCCCCGCTGTGAGATTTGTTTTATGAAATCAGTTTGCTCTATTAAATCTAGACCTTTTTAAAGAAAGAATTAAGTCTAGATGCAGGCAAGGTCTAGCTAAGGCCAGCTCACAGATCCCTTGCAGTCTGGCTGCTTAAGAACCTGGAAGATGTGGGCTCTTGTCCACTCAGCTTTGAGCACTGGGCTCAGCTTGTGCAAAACCAGACGGGATCGTATCGAACTCCTGTTTTCTGCAGAGCAGAGGAAACCACTCCGGTGAACCCTTGCTCATCTGGCAGCACTCACAAGCGCTTTGCTTGCCTCCTTGCGCCCGGTCCTCAAGGGCTGTGGTGGGATGTAGGCAGTACAGGCAGGATGAGTGACGGTGTGAGGCAGCCAGCGAAGGAGCCACAGCATCTCTGAGCTGCTTTCTAACCAGTCTTCGCACACCTTCCGTTGCTAAAGATCCTGGGCCCTGATTCTTCCACCAGTCTGGATTTACACCACTCCATGGGCTCCAATGGAGTTAATCCATGGCTTCCTCTGGTGTAAGCCCAGGAAGAATGGGGGCCCCTGATTGATTTCCATCCTTTAACCCGGAATGAGGAATGCCGCAGCATGACCCTTGCCAGAATAACCTGGGACCCTGCAACTTTCTTTTCTTTGTGCTTTTTATGTTTATTTCCTCATCGTACTGCTGTGCGCTAATGGCTTCAACTCTGTTTTGTTACGGACAGTTCTTACTTTGTGTCCAGTGTACCGAGATCCACTGCGATGGCCATGAGTAATACTTGTGTGTGCAGTAAGGACCTCTGCAGCCATGCTCTGGGGTGGTGGGGTTCTGAACGTGCCCGTGTGTCCGTGCTGTTTCGCGTTCAGGTGAAATTGTATCACAGCAATGCACAGAGACCTTGAAAAGACATTTTGAATAGGGGCACGGGGCTCAATTCATTAAAACAACCTCTGGCGGTGCTGCTTGGCACTCACCAGCAGCATGGCAGGGGGCGCAACTGCAGCCAGATGCTTCCCCCCAGGGGAATCCCTAAAATACATGAATGCCAACGTGGGGATTCATGTTGACCACTCCTCCTTGCTAGAACAAGTTCCTGGACCAGTCTCTGGCTCCCAGGAGGTGCTTGCAGCCAGGGGTCAGGCACAGCCCAGTCACAGGAGGATGAAGGGCACCCCAACACATCCTGCCTGCGCAGATGCAGTTGAAGCTACAGCCCAGTGCCCTCTGGGTGCTATCGGGGGTCTGCAGCCAGGCATCTGCCCCTGGAGACCCCCTCTCCTGCTCCACTTGTGCCCAGGTCACGCACACAGCAGAGGAGGCAGCCTGGAAGAGCTTGGTGGTCCCTATTCACTGAACACACACACCAGTGGCTGCTCTTCTTTCATCAGTCCCTGTCCTCCAAGGACTGTTTTTTACGTGATTCAACTGAGAGTCAATGTAGAGAATATTTACCAAGGCTAAAATCTCCTGCCTCTTTTCTGGAGGAACGTCCAATCATTTGGCATCCTGGGCAGTTGGCAACCAGGACTTGATGCTCATGATGGCTATGAAGGGATTTGGCAATGAAAAAACAGCTACTCCCCACTTCCCAGAGGTGAGACTCAACAAAACAGCCAACAGTCCACACTCAAACTCACTGGTTGCATTTGTGACCCTTTCCATGCTCTCTAGCTTTTAATGAATCGGGCCTCCTGTGGCTGGCTGGGTGCTTACTTGATGGTTAAATGCTCACGGGTGGTTGGTAGACGGTTGTTGTTTCTTAGCTGTGATGTGTGAAATGTAGTATCTCTTTATAGGATGCAATTTTGACATTCAAGGAACGCCTTACTCTCAATTAGGCAAGTATACTTATTACAATTAACTGGTACCTGCTCCACATTGCTCGTCCTTTTTTCCTGTTTGATATTGAACTTTCCTTTGGTGACTGAGCAGCATTTCTTGCGCACACCCTACTTGCACAGTGCCCTTGGATGTCATGGCAGTAGGCGAGTTTGGAGGAGGAATGATGATTGCCATACAATATAAAAGCCTTTTAAGTTTTCCCCCATACAGTTTTAAAGTAAAGCCTGAAGTCAGTGCTCTGGATGCAGCCCTGTAATTAAGAACTGCTCGTCCTGCTCAAAGCAATATGTATTCCAGTTCATTAAGGGTGCTTGAACACGGGCCAAATGCCGAGGAGGTGATTAGGTCCTCTGCAGCCAATCGGAGCAAGCTGGTGGTAGCCACTTGCCTGTCCGTGTCAGACTGCCTGCATGTTCATTCCCAGGGAATTCAGTCCCATGTCCCACCCTACAGGACTCCTACCTTGTCAGTTCACCGCAGCCCAAGCCCACCCTCCCTCAATCTCTGCCCCGTTCATGCAAAGCACTGACAGGTCCGTGCGAAGCAGGCAAGCAGAGATTGTTTCTCGCTCCTTTCTTTACCCACCCTTACGTGCTGTTTTCTCTCCTGCATGCCTGTCCTTGGGAATGACCACAGTTGACATTAAAAAAATGGTGGCAGGTACGGAATCACCTCTGTCAAGCTGCAAAAGTGGGGCACCCGCGTGCATGTGAGCTGTCCTGTGAAACGATCCAATAAACCAGTGAATCAATCTCACCAGAGTGTTTCATTTTTCAAGCCGTATTTACTCCTGCAGGCGTAAGAGTGTTCTGTATGTGTCAGTTCACGTTTCAGTGACCGCTGGAGAAAACCACCTAGGGATCCGGGCTGGTGGCTTGTGAAACCCTGTGCCTCTGTCTTGTCCAGGCCGTGACACTGTATCTGTCAGATTTGCAGTAACCAAGTCCTGTGCATTTAAACCAGCAGCCGTACCAAGTCATGGAGGTTTTCGTGCATTTTCCAGCTTTCCCATGAGCTAGCTCTTGTCTTACGTGTGGCCAGCTGCTCCTCAGGGATGATTCTTGATGTGACATAGCATCTCTGTCAATGTAGACCTTTGTATGTGCTTTTGGTTCCCCGGATTGCCAGCCCTCAAATACACAGTTTATGTGCTAATTGCAAAATCATAGAATCCTAGAATGGTTTGGGTTGGAAGGGACCTTAAAGCTCATCCAGTTCCAACCCCCTGCCACAGACAGGGACACCTTCCACTCGACCAGGTTGCTCCAAGCCCCTGTGTCCAACCTGGCCTTGAACACTGCCAGGGATGGGGCAGCCACAGCTTCTCTGGGCAACCTGTGCCAGTGCCTCAGCACTCCCACAGGGAAGAACTTCTGCCTAATGTCTAATCTAAATCTCCCCTCTGTCAGTTTAAATCCATTTCCCCTTCTCCTATCCCTACATGCCCTGTCAAAAGTCCCCCAGCCTCTACCCCACAGTGGGCTTGACCCCACAAACTGTTGCTTGCGTGACTAACCCTTAGTCAGAAGAGTCAGTTTATGTTAGCTAGAGCCTGGAGACCTGGCTGGGATCATGTCTCTTTCTGCTAGGGCCAAGTTTTATGAGATGGTGAGGATCCTGTTGGCTCACAGACTGTGGGAGGGCATGGAGACAGACAGGCACTGGGAACCAGTGAGAACAAAACCCACCGAGTCCTGGCCATAAGACCTTAGCCACTCTGGCAGGCTGCAGCCGCACAAGCTCAAAGCATCCTTACGTGATGGAAGATGCTCTCTCTGAGCCAGCATCCCTTTGCTGTGCAGCTCTCTGCCTGCTTCTTGCTGCCATGTCAGCGGGCAGCAGCCCAAGCCTTCGCCCTCTGTGTCGGCCCTGCATGCAGCATGCCCTGTTCAGTGTCTGCTCCGCATGGCTCAGCCACCTACATCTCTGCTCCCTCCACACTAACCTGATGTTGTTTGTGTATTCCAGTTGCTTGGTTTTCTTTCGATCCTGCCTCTGCCCATGCTGACATCATCTTTTCTAATGACAACCTGACTGTCACCTGCAACAGCTATGATGACAGGGTTGTGCTGGGGAAAACAGGCTTTTCCAAAGGGCTCCATTACTGGGAGCTGTCAATCGATCGTTACGATAACCACCCTGACCCGGCCTTTGGTGTGGCACGCATTGATGTCCTGAAGGATGCCATGCTGGGCAAGGACGACAAAGCCTGGGCCATGTACGTGGACAATAACCGGAGCTGGTTCATGCACAACAATTCGCACACCAACAGGTACGTGGTCTGGAACAGGGTCTTCCTCCCAGAGACCACAGCCCACCTTCAGCCCAAGTAAGACCCCGTAGGTTTTCCAGTGGCACCTACAGGTACCCATGGGAAGGGTGGCATCACTCCTCATCACCTCTGTTACAGGATGTGCCCTTGTCCCAAGCAAAGGACAGTCCCTGCCTTCCTGGTTCTGCCTTGCTCCAGTGTTCCTTCCCTGCCTACAGCAATTCTTTCCATTCTGACTCTTCCCCTGAGCATGCATGGCACCACTCCTGTATGGCACTCTTTGTGTTAGTACCAAAGCCTTGCAACTCATGCAGTAAGAGAATAGCGCTTGCCTTTACCACGGTGCCACAGCTATTGCTCGCTTTCCCCCATGGACAATGGGGCTGGGGGCTCTGAAGCCTGCGGTAGCTTGGGGAGAGCCTGGTATCACCTTCCTGCAGCCCCAGAAGCTGTTCCCTGATGGGTCAGCAGGGCCTGAAGGGGCCCTGCAGCTTTGCTCCCCAGGTCCACTTGCTTTCCCCCATGGCTGTGTTGCTGTGTCTGCTCCAGTAGGCAGCTCTGCCCTCAGAGGGACATCATGGCAAGCAGAGAGCACCTTTGCAGGAGGCTAGAGGAGGAGGTGCCCAGGGATGGTGCCCAGCTGGGATGGGTGCTGGTCATGGCCTGGCCCCTGTGTGAGCTGTGAAGTTCAGCATCGTCAGCCCTTGAGGTCCATGGTGGCCTGAACCCTGAGCTGAGAGCACAGAGGACATTAAGCCACAGAGATGCTCTGATCTTCTCCTTGCCCCCACAGAACCGAGGGTGGGATAACGAAAGGCGCCACGGTGGGAGTGCTGCTGGATTTGACCAGGAGGACTTTGACGTTCTCCATCAATGAGGACCAGCAAGGGCCTGTTGCTTTTGAGAACCTGGAGGGCCTCTTTTTCCCTGCAGTCAGCCTCAACAGGAACGTGCAGGTACGTGCTTTGGCCATGCTCTGGAGCACCACAGCAGCATACGCTGTGGGTGAGCTTGCTGGCAGACGCTCCAGTGCTGCTGTCACTGCAGTGTGTGGTGATGCTCAGCAGCACAGGGACTTCATGGGGAAGGCTCTTGTGCAACAGTTTCATAACTGTTTCTTGATGGTACCCAACAAGAGCCTCATCAGCTCTTGCAGCTCTCCTAGGACTCTCCAGTCAGGAGCATTACCAGGAAGAAGGGCACCTTTTAAAACCTTTTTCCCTCTGGGGAGTTTCAAACCCCTCTTCTCTTCTCTTCCTCTTTCCCAAGCTATCAGCTATCCTGAACATCACCAAGTGGTGGCTCCCTGGGCCTATCCGGTATTTTCATCTTTCATTTTTCTTCTCACTGATCACATCCCTGCTATCATCCCCCCACACTGAGTCTTCCACGATCACTGAGCCTGGCTTTGTCACATCCACCTACCACTGCTTGTACCTCCAGCACTCCACAAGTGCCCAGGCACATCCTAGGACACATTGCACATGACAGGTGACCTCGGGGTGTTGAGCAGTTTGGCACAGTCTTCCGCAGTGGATGTCAAAGGCACCATCTCTGTACAAGGGCAGAGGCCCCGAGTGGCTTCTCTAAGTTAGGATTCTGGATCAGGGCATGCTCTATTCAGGGTATCAGGTATACCATGGCTGTCACCAAGGCACTGTTTCCCAGCAGCACTGGGGCAGAAGTTGGTCGTTACCACCCCAAACCCTGCAAGCATCCCTGCCAGAGATTCCCACCCCACGAGCCTTGCAGGCAGGGAGGCTGCCAGCTTGGGGAAGGGCTGGCCAATGTGCAACATACTGGGGCTGAGCTGACGCTTAATCAGGAGACATTAAAGAAGACCATCTTGTCTGAGCTGGTCTTAGATGTTACGGTATTAATTTGGTGTGGTAGAAACATCCCACTTCGTTGTGGGTTTAATTCCTTCAAAAATCCTCTACACAGCCCTAACAGATAAGGACATTTCTGGAGCCCCTCTGCTTTCTGACAGTTCGCTGGGCAAGGCAGAGCTTAAATCCCCTGGTAACAAAGAAATCCCATGGGATACTGGTAAAAGGCTGCTAATAAACCCAAGTCACTCATTATCCTTCTTCAAAGGTTTATGAATAATTAACTGTAATTAGGAGGGAAATAATTGCTTCAGACAAAGTTTTCTATAACTCTGTCTGAAGTGGAAAATGCTGCTGTTCCAATAAGAGAAGGAATTGTGCTTTCATCCCAAACTAAAGCATTTGCAGAGGGAACTGAATTGCCCATGCACAGCTTATTGGTGCCTGTGTATTTGCAGGACTGGCCCCTCACGCAGTCAGTCCGCACAAGCAGAGCCTGCCCATAACCCTTACAGACCAAGGTTTTCCTAGACACCCTGAGCATCAGGTCTCCAGTATTATTCTCCCTTTCCCTTTATCCCTGTGTTGCAGTCTCTGCTGCATCACTTCCCATCTCCGGATGATGCCAGGCCGAGTGCCTAGCTCCCATTCTCAGACTCAGCAAACGGTTCGGGTTGGAAGGGACCATTAAAGGTTGTGCTTGAGCATCTCCCCATGCCATAGCATGGCCCTGCCCCAGCACCCTGCTACTGCTCAGCTTCCTCCCACCAGGAACTGGCCATGCCCTCTCTGCTGTATGGCACACACTCAGCTCAGAGGCTTCCTGGAGGTCTCATTCTGTACTGAGCGGCTCAGGGTCCTTCAGGCCCTTCCATCCCCTTTTGTGCATCCCATCTGCGGAAGGATCCAACTGCTGCCATGTCCCACCTCTCTGGCAGCCAACTGCTGGATTTGTCAGCAGCCAGCTCAGGATATCTTGGGCTTGGTACCGCTGGTACCAGCATCCCCCCTCACAGGGACCCAGCAGTGCTGGCAAGCTGTGTAACAGCGAGATGGAGCCACTGCTGCAGTTCTGGGGACAGCCTCTCCTACCCTACCCCAGGCCCCCACTGCCGCGGGGAGGATGTGCAGTGGGGCAGGAGGAGCAGTGGGCTCTCCACCTCTCTGGCTGCACCCTGCCTGCACTCTGCCTGGGTGCTGCTCCTGCCCTCCCTGGGGACAGTGTGCCGGCCCTGAGCTGTCCTCCAGGCACGGAGGGACTCGGCTGAGCCCTGTGTCTCTTTGCAGGTGACGCTGCACACCGGCCTGCCGGTCCCCGAGTTCTACACTTCGCGCTCTGCCATGCCATGAGGATGCTCCTGGAGCCGGCTGCCTCTTCTCAGGATGAGAGGAGCCAGCCTGTTCCCTCCTATGGGACAAGGCCGCTGCCGAGCCGCCGGGTCCCTGCTCTGCCGCCAGCCGGAGACAGAGAGGCAAAGCGGGAAGGAAGAGCCCAGCTTTTGGCCACCTCTGATCTCCATCCTCCTGCGCTGTCCTGTGTGTGTGCGCTTCGCTGTTTAGCTCTTTTGGCTGATGAAGTACCTAAGTAGCCTGAGATTTTCCTCTGCGTCCGCTTTTAGGTTTGGTTTCATTGATCTGAGTTGGGGTTTCGAGGGGGGCAGTTTCGTCTCATTTAGCAAAGCGCTTTCCCCTCCCATGGGGCTGGATGGAGGGACCAAGGAGGAACCCGCACCATGGGAAAGTTTTTGCCCACACCAGCCCCAATACTTTGCAGGATATTTCTTTCCCCTGTGGCCTTTCTCGCAGAGCACCCTCAGTCATGTGTAGAGGTGGGTCCTGGATTACCAGTCAGTCTCTGTGTCCTTACCAAAACACCTGGCCCTGTCCCTTGTCCCCAAGAGGTGTTTCCATGGGGCGCAGCAGTGGGGCAGGGAGTGGCTGCCCTGCCCCTGGGTGCTCTGGGTGCTGGCAGGGTCTCCCCCCAGCTGCCTACAGCCCGGCATCAGCCTGCATGCCACAGCCATAGACCAGAGAGCCCCTGCCCGGCTCTTTGGAGATTAGTGTTTATTTTTTTATAGTTGCCATATAAAGCCTAGCCTTAAAATCCTGACAGTGTCCTTCTGTTCACCGGAGAATGCATTCCACAGGGAGGGTCTGATGGGGAGCCCAGGGATGAGGATGAGGATGAGGATGGGGAGGAAGGAGTTGGCCACAGCCCTGCCATGCACTCAGGAATACGCACCTGCTGCCCTGCCTGCGCCTGCTGCCGGCAGCAGCTCCCATCGGCCTACCCTGGTAGGGACTTTCTGGTAATTCAGAGGCAGGAAAGGAGCCGGAGCTGTGGGTGCCGTGCCCGGTGCCAGCTGCATCCCCATGCCAAGGGCACCTGCATGCACATGGCCCCACGCGTCACTGTTCGGTCACCCGCCGTGTCCCGGTGTGGTGCGGAGCTGGGGAGGCAGCGGTGCCACTGCCAGGCAGGTACCAGCCTACCCAGCCTGGCCGGGGAGCTGCTGCTCCAGATCCGGGATCAGGTGGGATGCTTCGGGAGTACTGGTCCAGCAGGAAGACAAGTGTAAATAGACCATTCCCTTCCAGCATGCCCTCCTCTAGGATGGTCCCATTCGTTCCTTTGTTGCTCTAGTTTTAAGTTTACCTAATTTATTGGATGGGTGCTATCTTGTTGACTTACACCGAGGAGCTTCTCTCAGCTGCAGGAGAGCCGTGTTGCGGGGCAACGCCGAGCAGCTCTTTGGTGAATTCCTGATGAGCCCCCGTGGCCGGCTCACCCGGGGCTCCTCTCTCAGCCGTTATCCCCTCTTCTTTAGGATGTTCATGGTGCTTATTAGACTCCCAGTGATCGTAAGACGTTGTCCCCCTGTACCGCGATGATAGCTGCATACAGCTGCTGTACTGAAGTGTCATGTTTGCTGTTCTAATAAAGGACTTTTATGAGAGAAGGGCACAGCTTCCCAGAGCATCACTGCGCCACCACAGCCCCTGCTTTGGTTCCCATCTCATCCCACCCCAGTGTAGGTCAGTGCAACACACTGCACATCCCTCCCTGTCCCTGCTGGGAGACAGCAGAAGAGAATGGACACAATTTGGTTCATGGCATTGGTGGAGGGGGGGTACAGAAGCCAGCTGAAACCCAGCGCTGCAGCAGCAGCACAAGATGACCAAGGGGTGCAGGGAGCTTATGCTGCTGGCACAGGCAGCACCCCATCACTCTTTACCTACAGAGGTGACACAACCAGCAAGGCACCAGCACCTGCAAAGCAGGGAGGATATGAAGTTTCCCATCCCATGAGCAGGAGATGCCCCAGGAGGAAGAAGGGTGATTGCAAATCTTGTGTTATGCCTGCAGGGCTCTATGGAAGCCAACCCAAGCATAGCCATGAACACCAAACCCAGCAGTCCCACATGCCACCCAGTCTTTTTCTGACCCTTTCCCATCACGAGCACATTCCTGCTTCCCTTCTTTGTGTGCATAAGGAGCAGTGACAATTCCCCATGCCCACCGTCAGTGCTGAGCTCAGACAGCAAAACAGGGGAGGGGGCAGCAACATGGGCCTTACCACCCCACCTGCAGCCCATCACCAAAGGAATTTGGGGTGCCAAGGAATGGCCCCGAGTGCAGAGGAGCCAGGATGCAAGCAGGAGGGTTGAGGGATGGCATGTGGCAGGAGGGAGGAATTACCTGGGCTGAGTACAGAGCAGCATCTCTCCAGGGGGTAAGCTGCAGCGTCCAACCCAGTGCAACCATCCCAACACCAGCCCCTGCCCCAGAGCCACCCAGAGCAAGAGGAGGTAGCAAGGACCAGGTGAGAAAGAGAGAGAAAATGATTGAGATCACGAGATGCCCAGGACTGAAAGAGCCCAGCACTGCTGTGAGGCAGCACCAGCACTTGGGATCCCTCGGGAGGGTCTTTCTTCCATAAGCAGGGGGAAACGCTGAGGTATGAGTGCTGTTGGGGCCATGTCCGAAGGAAAGTCCTGGACAGTTCTCTTAGCACTCTCTGCTGGGAAATTGGTGCCTGCTCCACGTTTTCTCACAATGCCTATGGAGAGGTTTTCAATGTGAGGCCGCTGAGCTCATCATGGGCGCGGGTCCAGGGCTCAAGAAAAACATGCTAATCGTTGCATTAAGTGCATTCATGTCTCAGAACAGTGCTCGTCCTTCCCAAGAAGGAACATACCCAGCACACCGGAGAGACGGTGAACTGCATCCTCCCTGCAGCCTCTAAACCCCAGCCTGGAACTGGACACCACCCCGCGCCCGGTGCAGCCCAGCTCCCGCTGTCCAGGAGAGCAGCGCTGGATGCCCCAAGCTGCCCCAACCCACCCCGGGTTCTGCCCCGCGCCTGGCAGCTCTTGGAGCACTCTGCAGGCACCGCTCGCATGGCTGCAGTTCCCACCTGCACTGGAGGGCAGGTCCTGTCCAGGAAATACCCGCGGCAGGCACCCAGCCCCTGCCTGCTGCCAGCTGGTGAGGAAACCGTGCCCAGGCTTCCCACTGAACAGCAATCCTTCAATCTGCCCTGGGAAGAACCAGGAAGATGGGGCACATCCCCTTTTGCCCATGGTGCACGTGTGCGGTTTGGGCTGGTTCCTGAAGTTTTTGGTGAGCTGCTGCAGACCCGGCTCAGTGTGGAGCCTCGTCCTGCTTGGACCTGGCAAGCGGTATGGGTCGGGTGGTTGGGTAAGCCCAGGAGCACGGGTGGCCCCGGGCAGCGGTTGGGTTGTGATGCTCTTGGGCTGCGTGTGGGCTCCGCTGTGCAGACCTGGGCAGGGAGAACACCCAGCGCTGGAAGGCCTGCGCAGGCACGGCTGGAGGAAGAGGAGGAGGAAGAGGAAGAGGAGTTGCGCTGCACGCTCAGGTCAGCTGCTCTTGCCCTCAGGAGGAGCCGGGAGGCAGGGCCGGGCAGGAGCCACGGAGCCTGCCCGGGGAGGCGGCTGTGAAGGGCCCGGAGCCGACCGGAGCAGATCCCGCGCCCCTCCCACAGGGATTCCGGAGCGCAGGGACCACTGAGGAGGCGGGGGGAGGCTGCTGGGCACGGGTGAGGCCGCGGCACCGTCCCTCTGGGCCGGCAGAGCGGGTTTGCCCCGGACCCCTGCGGGAAGGGCCTTGGACGAGCTCCAGAGCACCGGGTGGAGCCCCCGCCGCCGCCCCGGTGAGAGCCAGGACCGGACCCGACCGCCCGGTGCTGCTGCGGGTTCCGCTCGTTCCCCGGCTCCTGCCCCCTCCCTTTGCACTCCCCTCTGTGCCCCCCCCAGCGGTGCTGTCCCCGGGACCCCTCACTTTGCGCTGCTCCCCCCCCACCAGGGGCGGCCCGTGGCGGCGGCCCCTCCCCGTCCCTGTCCCGCTGCCCCTGGCGGTGGCGGTGCCCTCCCCGGGGCGGTGCCAGCCCGGGGCGGAGGCGGAACCCAGACCTGGAGCCCGTGCCCAGCCCCGCCGCGGCGGTGTCCCCGGGGTGCGTCCCCCGCAGCCCCGCCGGGATGTCGCGGCCGCTGTCGGACCAGGAGCGGCGGAAGCAGATCAGCATCCGCGGGATCGTGGGAGCCGAGAACGTGGCCGAGCTGAAGCGGGGCTTCAACCGGCACCTCCACTTCACCCTGGTCAAGGACCGCAACGTGGCCACCCCCCGCGACTACTACTTCGCCCTGGCCCACACCGTGCGGGACCACCTGGTGGGGCGCTGGATCCGCACGCAGCAGTACTACTACGAGAAGGACCCCAAGGTGGGAGCGAGGGGATGCTGGCCGGACCTCTCTCTGCAGGGCGGGGGTGCGAGGGAGCCCCTGCAACCCCCCCCCGTTTACCCAAGTGGGGTCCTGCAGTGTGGGAGTGGGGGAGTTCCTAGAACCGCTGTAACCCCTTGGGTGCGAACCGACCCTCTGTGAGCTTGCCAGAAAAATGCAGGCATGGGGGGCTCGGTTTCCCTTTGGCCTGGGGATATTCCCCTTAGCGCTGCTGAGCAGAGGGACTGGACTTTAACAAGGAGGAGGCCGCTGTCCTTTGCTTTGCAAAACAAAGAGAGCGCAGCTTGGCTGGGAGCTGGGTGCAGGGCATGGGAACAGCGTTTGTTGCCCCACAGGGCTGGCGTGGGTGAGCTCTCCCTATCGCAGCTGCAAAGCCTTCTAGGGCGAATTACTTGAAGGGCTTAAAGGAAGCCAGCTGCAAGCAGATCTTGTCTGGAAGAGGCACAAGCCTGATCTGAGCTGCAGGGATCCCAAGCAAGACAGATCTGGTTTTGTGCAGGAATTCCTGCTCGTGGTTGCTGGCTTGCACCCACTGAGCACAGGGCTCTGGCTGCTTGGGGATTAAGCAGTAATCCCCTCCTGCAACCTGGATGGCTCTGTCGCCTCCAATTTCCTTCCTGGGAGGCTGGCCCAGCCAACACCTCTCTGGGCTGGTGCCAGCCCCTGATAGCTCAGATCCCTGCCATGTCCTGCAGGGGTGAGAGAAGGATAAGCCCCTTCCAGGGCTTCAGTGTGGGGACTCTCCCGTACAGCTGAGCCACACTGAGTGCCGTCCACCCCGCATCATGTCTTCCAGCTCTGCTGGGACCAAGCCAGTAAACCCAACCCATGCTGCCCAGCAGGCAGTCACAGAGTGGTTTGGGTTGGAAGGGACCTTAAAGATCACCCAGTTCCAACCCCCTGCCACAGACAGGGACACCTTCCACTCGACCAGGTTGCTCCAAGGTCCGTCCAGCCTTGCCCTGAACACTGCCAGGGATGGGGCAGCCACAGCTTCTCTGGGCAGCCTGTGCCAGGGCCTCAGCACCCTCACAGGGAAGAACTGCCTAAAATCTGGTCTAAATCTCCCCTCTGTCAGTTTAAAGCCATTGCCCCTTGTCCTGTCCCTACATGCCCTTGCTTCAGCTTTCTTGGCAGCCCCCTTTAGGTACTGGAAGGCTGCTCTAAGGTCTCCCCTGAGCCTTCTCTCGTCACCATCCCCAGCCCACCCCTGTGCAGGTCCTGGGGAAAGCTGTCAAGTCAGCGACTTCCTCCAGCCTAAATCCTTCCTTAAAACCTGCTGGTGCTGACACAGGCGACAGCTTACACAAGCTGCCCCCTTCCTGGCCACATCCTGCACCCCTTGTGTCAGCCAGAGGGAGACGAGAGCAAACCCAAGGGGGCAGCAGGGGAAGCCGGGGACCCTGTGGCTGCCACACACCTCTGTTCCCAGTGGCTCCCTTGTTTTCCCAGTTGTTGGCAGCTCATGGGGACATTGGGTAATGTCTCCTCTTTAAAGGTTACCTTTGTACCACTGCAGTCCCCGGCGTGCTCAGGCCGACCGTCATGGAGCAGTCCCTGCTCTTGGACCGGGCACCGCAGCTTGTCCCTGCAAACCACCTGGGCACTGCCATCTCCCTGGCTTGGGAAGCAGCAGGGGCAGGAGAGCAGGGCAGGGGCTGCAGCACGGATGCCTCGGGGTCTCCAAGGAGCCCCAGCCCTCAGGTTCCTGGTGCAGCCCCTCCTGCCCTGTTGACAGCCAGGGTTCTCCTCTTGCCTTGAGATGACTCCCAGTAGCAGCTCCTGCGGTGCAGGGGAGCCTCCCCCAGGCCTGGGGAAGGTGACCTGGGCTGGTTTTCTCTTTCAGAGGATTTACTACCTCTCCCTGGAGTTTTACATGGGGCGGACGCTGCAGAACACCATGATTAACCTGGGGCTGCAGAATGCCTGCGACGAAGCCATCTACCAGGTGAGCCTCCCAGGCAGTGAGGCCCTGGGGCAGGAGGGCTCCGTGCTCTCTGGATCCTGGAGATGTCCATGTTTTACCATGCTGTCTGCCAGCTGCTCCCTGAGCAGCAGGTGATGCCTTAGTGCATGAATGCTGCTCCAGGACCTGCTTTCACAAGGCCCGGGGCTGCAGCCAGCACTTGCAGCCTGAGCAGGGCTGCCCAGCCCCAGGGCTGTGTGCTGAGGGATGCAGTACAGCTCTGCTGAGCCC